AACTCACACTCTCATTATTTATCATTTTCAGGCTTATAGCTTGATAGCAGGTCACTTTTGTTGGACCTTCAGAACCTGCTCTTTTGGTTGTAATCCGTGCATTTTCCTTTATGTCTAATTAGTGCTCCAAAACTATAAAATTACATTAACTCTTGTATTAAAACAATTCAATTATATTATGAAGTTGATTTTGTTATTAATGCTGCGTTGAACTCTGATTGAGTTAGGATAAATTTGTATGTAAATTTGGGTTCGCATAGGTATGGAACCTTAGAGGGGAACCTTGCCTATGTGCCGGTCATGGATCCGGGATTCGGGTCGTGACAATTACTTTTTAAGAACATATAAAATATTTTTTTAATTCATCTATCTTGATTACTCAAATATATTCATATAGTTTATGTTATATTCAATATCTATTCGCTTGTTATCTTTGTTTAGAACAATGTGTGGTTAGGATCAGAGTATAACACTTCTTATATAAGATAACTTAGTGATATCAAGTATAAAGATTACTTACATAACTATTATGTAAGCATTCTACAAACATATGTGATCGCTTTATATGAAATTTTATTGTGGATTAGTTCAGTGTATATATAATTTAATAAACACCTACATATTAGTTTTAAATATTCTTCATACCTCAATTTATGAGAGCATCTACTTCGTTTCATGAAGAAATAAACATAATATCATCGGTCTTAATAACTCTAATTAATGTTTAGTCTTAATAAAATATTATTTATGAACATTTAGAAATAATATTTTAATGTAATATAAATCTCATAATTATAATAATTTTATAATTTTCTATGAAAATATTTTGTTTCTTAAACTTTATCCTTACTTTAAATTTATTAATCAAATATAAATAGATATTTTAAAAAAACTTTATTAACAATAAATATATTTTATATGAATAAAGGTGTGTACAACATGTTACTAGTAACATGAGGCAGTGGCATCTCATGATCAGAATGATTAGCTTTTGTCAAAAGCTTCATCATTCTCGTATAAAGATGAACACATGATGTGCTTCAGTTTCATTACTGAGTGCGAAGTCCTGAGGAACGGGTAGGGTTTTAGCTGATGTTGTGGTGAGTGCAACAGGATTTGTGCTGAGAGTCGGTGGTATCCCATGATCAGCACGATGCATAGTCTTTACAAAATCTTCACCATTCTCGTAAAGCAGAAATGATTCATTACTCACCGGAAGTGCTTCAATTTCATTACTGAGTGTGAGGTCCTCGGGATGTAGCTGATGCAGCAAGTTAAACATGCTTGGTATCGAGAGGCGGCGGCGTCACATGATCTGAACGATGTATACCCACAATTCTGCCATCCTTGATGTCCAGGTTCGCTAATTCATAGGAAAAGATACAGAGTCATAAGATGATATCTAAGTGATTTCTAGTTCTCAGATTAATTTCTGACCATAAA